CCCACTTCGGTAGATGCTTACCTCCTCAGAAACCCAAAGAGGGTCACTCCGAGTCAGAATGGACTCAGTGGCAATGAGTTTGGTTTCGGGAATCTTTACAGGAGCAGACTGCCAGGCCTTTGTTCTGCTGAGCGGCTAGTGGGTTCCAACTGATGGGCAGCCAGAGTTTAACCCCTGCGCCACCAGGTTCCGTCAACTAACAACGTCAGTTAAATACTGGGGCACATCCTCTCTGTACTGATAACAGCAGTAGCTCCTGGGGACCCATCCCTCAGCCCCAGTGCTGCATCCGCTGGAACCTTCCATCACACCCCCTTCAGTCCCAGCTCTGCGCCAGAAGAAACAGGCCTCCTCGCCCCTATTTCTGTCCCCAGGCACATCTGGGTCCTGGAACTGGCTACGCGTTGGGATGAACTGGAAGGCAATGGGTTTGTGCCCTGGAAGCCCAAGTGCCAACACCTGCCCACTCCTCCGCAGATCTGAGGATTCCTGACGCTTTTGATTGTTCATTTGTCATACTTCTCCAGGAGGGGACCTGAGCCAGGACGCGCCTGCCCTACTGTGCCCTGCGGTCCCCCATCACCGCCCTCTGGCAGCGGAGCAGAAGGCGCCAGGACTCCTCCCTCCGCCCAGCCCTTGTCCCGGCGACGGAGCGGCCCTGGAGCCCGCAAGGCGGGCAGGTCCCCAACCCGACACGTGCCCCAGAGCCTCTGGACAGCTGCAGGAACCAGGGGAGAGAAGAGCTGGAGGCGGAAACTGAAGAGTCTCAATACTGGGCTAGGGGACACAGGGGACTTGACCAGGACTGCAGTCCTGCCCGGGAGGGGCCGGGGGCGTGGGAGGGCGTGGCGGGGGCGGGCCTCCTCGTGTTGGGGTGGGACGAATGGAGCAAGGTCCTCAGTCAGATGCCGCACTTGCTGCGCAGCCAGGTGAGGTTCTGACGTTGCTTATGATGATCTTGACATGATACTTTCCTATGCACTCAGCTTTTTTGTTATATTCCGTTATTGCTCCTGGAGCTGGAGTCATACTTAGAAAGGCTTCTTAGAGCCAGGGGGTTCTTCCGGGAGTTGCATGGCTTCACATGGAACAAGGCATTTCGAAGCCGCCCACACCCACACAGGCACACACACCCCTTTCCTTCTGGGCGGGGAGAGCTAGGAGGGTATCTGTCGTTCTGTATCCGTGCAGTGTGCTGCACACATGCACTTTCCGTGCCCTAAAGACTCTTACTTCATGTCCATTTGCAGGTAGGGAGACAGTGGAAGGGATTACAGCATGTTGGTGCACTGGGCAATCCCCTACCCCGGTTGGGATTAGGTTGAACAACTGGTTGGAAGCGATGAAGGCCAATGGATCGGCAACCTTCTAAAGGACTTTTCTAGCACAAGGACATTGAACACAATAATATACTATCCTAACAGGTTAGGAGCCCCTGGGTGGCTCTGATGATTAAGGGCTCCACTGCTAACAAGCCCACTCAGAGGGACCTTGGAGGCAAGGCTGGTGACAGGCTTCTGCAGGGTCGCTAGAGCCACTGCAGCAACTGGGCGCTGCACCCACAGGGTTTCCGTGAGGTCCAGTGCCCTCGCCAGCAGCTGCAGCAACAGGCTTGTGAGGAAAAAGAGAGTTTAGGCAAAAAGGCGTGTTGTTTTAAGATCGGTTATTAAAAATGTGTTAAATAATAATACAATGAATTGTAAAAGAACACAGTTTGAGAACTCCCTGATGTGAGTTCCTGTGACAAAGGCCTGGAGAGGAGTTGACAGTTGCAAAGCCTGGCATAGCAGCTGGACGTGGTGTTACCGGAAACGCTATGGGGTTTTCTCTCCTCTAGCGCCGATTGACAGAGGGTGCTAAGCAGAAGGATGTCAGTCCAAACCCACCAGCTGCTCTAGGGAAGGAAGATGGGACAATCTATTTGGTAAAGATGTACCACCTCAGAAACCCAACGGGGCTCACTGTGAGTCCAAATCTACTCAATGGCAGTGAGTTTGGTTTTTCTGTTTTGGTTTGTTTTGTTTGTTTGTTTGTTTGTTTTGGTTACAGAGAAGCTTGGGCTCTAGCGTCCTATCTCAGAGCGTCAAGGCTGCAGGTTCAAAGGCTCCCATTTTGCCATTACCGGAAGCTCTGCATACCCCCTCCCTCCGCCTTGCTCTGCTGCCTTCTTTTCGCCCTCTTATTAAAAAATGTGGGCCTGTGCTCCAAGCGACCCAGAGCCAATTCAGTCGGGCCGGGAGAAGCGAGAAGAAAGAGAGTTTAGTCATGCGTAAGTGGGGTAGGGACAGTTTCAGAGGACTGCAAAAGGCCCCCGCCTTCAGTGGCTAAATGCAGTTAACAGAGGTTGAGCTAAAGCTTATTATCACGTCCACTCATTCTGTTCCCAAGGACAGGGCTCCTTAGCTCCTGAGAAGAACCAAGAGAAGCCCCTCGGTTACGACTGGGAGCTATCTCGCAGCTCTGGAAGGCATCCGCACCGGGTGCATTGTGCTGTTCCAAGGCTGCCCTCCCTGATAATATTCTCAGGGTCCTTTGGTTTTGTGCCTCCGGGTCCCAGTGCTCTTGCGGAGGCTGATTTCTACATTAGGTATCACTCATTCCATGCCACTCATTAATTCTCTCCTGAGGTGAATGCACTGGTGGAGTCTCAGCCTTTCACTGGAACCTGGAGGGTCGGGGTGGGGAGGAGCAGGGACCACTCCATGAAACCTGGGTCTCATTCTGTGACTGAATTTTCGCTGAGACCCGCGCGGAGGAGAGCGGTAGTGCGATTCCCAGAAAAGCCTGCCACGCCTACGAATTTTCATGCCTCAGGCGCTGGGAGTCACCGAGCTGCAGGGGCCGGACCCAGGGCTCTGCGGGACCGCCCTGGGCCATGGTTCTCTGCACCGGGCACGGCCCCCAGTTCGAGCTAGACTCTGCATCATTTGGTAACCGGTCAGCACTAGACTCTGTTTGCTGAAGCTCTAAGTGCATTGCTGGCGTAGTGCCTAAGGCATTTGACTGCTAACCAGGAAGCTGGCTGTGCAAATCCACCAGCCACTCCTTGGAAGGAAGGTTGGGCAATCTACTTCTGTAGAGATACCCCCTAGGAAACCCAAGGAGGGGTCTCTATGAGTGGAATTGACTGAAGGCAGTGAGAGTTTTTACATGCCCTGTCAGTAACGTTGTCAGTAACAATCCCCTATTAAATTCTCATTATGTAAAAAGCTTGTTCTGCACACACATACTCCAAATAAGCTGAAATTTCTGCCTTCTTATAAATGCACATATACTATATAAATTAAAATTGTATTCTACCTTACAGGATTTTTAATAACTGGGATATTAATGTGTCTAAGAATTGACACATTATCATTATTACTCTTAATAAAATTTTTATTTTGCAATAATTTTTGATTCACAGGAAAGTTGCAAGGATAATACAGGGGTTTTCCAAGCTATCTCTCCCAGAGTTTCCCCCATCTTACATCACCACGATACAGTTGTGAGAACTCAGAAGATAACATGGGCGTATGACTCTTAAAAAAACTGTGGTCCGCATTTGGTTTCATTACTTTCTACACTTACGTTTTCCTAACTATTGTTAAAATTCTCAACAGCAAAGGGCAACATGAGTTCACAGCAATGCTTCGTGAACATGCCAATGTCATTCTTGAGAAACTTCCCTGTTATTAATGTCACATGACCTGAAACTATAGGTTACTTGAACACTTGAGATATCACGCCTCAGTAAAGGATTCTCTTCCCTTAACAGCCTCTGTGAAGTAGGAGGAGCAACAAGGATAATACAGTGATGGGGTAGCTCAAAAATCCTAAGGCATTTAATTGATTTAACACAGCTTTTGTGAACTGAAAAAATATAAATGCGAATAAAGTTACATTAAGACAAGGCATTGTTTCAGTGGTAAAAATAACAACTAATCTTCTCTCTAACTCTATAGACACAGCACGATCTCTAGGATATATGATTTAAAGATTTACATAGTAATAGTTGATCCTGAAAAAGCTCCAGATGACAAAATGGTGATTATAATTGTGATTTTCCATCTTATGGAGCATTTTCATACCCCAAGATGGTCTTGTTCACTGAGAGAGGTACAGTGCTTAGGGGGAGCAGAATCTTCCATAGAAAAGGATGCTCTCGGTTTTGTTGTGCCTGATGAAGAAGAGGAAAGGGTGGTCTGCCTTGAATTCCAGGGAGGGGAGTTGAACCCGGATATCCATGACACTCCCAGAGCCTGCTGCAGCCTCCGTCCCTTGTTCATTTATTTCCACGAAAGAGTTGTGGAAGACATTGAATAGATATAGGTAGTTCAGTGAAGACATGCCCGAGAAGTCAGCTCTGGACTGGTCAAAGGCATCTCTCATGCCCATTTGGCTCAGGACCTCCTTCAGGTCATAATTGTTGTGCAGCTTGAATTTGGGAAGATGCAGGTGAACTTCGTACAGCTCCATCATGTCGGCTCTGGTCCACTCACTCAGCTTCTTGTAGGTGATGGCCCTTTCCAGCTGCAGGTTTGGAACCAAGGGAGAAGAGTCAGTGATTCAGATATGGGATGAGAAATACAGTTTAGTGAGACCTCTTAGAAACACGGACAGCGTATGCATTACTTGGATGACTTTTGATCACTGCAGGAGTGAGACCTGGGTCAAGTAAATGGTTATAGTGCTTCCATGCTAATTGAATGGTAGGAGTTAGGCTCAACTCAGAGGTCCCTTAGAAGACCCACCTGGTGATCCGCCTCTGAAAATCAGCTGTTGGAAACCCTGGAACAGAGTTCTACTCTGACAAACACAAGATTTCCAGGAGTCAGAATCCACTTGACAGCTACTGGTTGGTTGCTTGGTTTTTGGTGTTTTCCTTACTCAGGAGAACATCTGAAAATTCTCTGTGTGGTGAAACTATTTGCTCTGCTGACTTTCAGAATCTCTTGTGTGTGTGTGTGTGCAGATTGATAGTTCTCAGGATATAGAATTAGATCTTGATCAGAAATAAAAGTATTTCAATGATAGTGTGTAAGACATCAACTATGCATTAGAATACATCAATATCAATCTACATTTAGATGTTGTCTACAGAAAGTATCTACTTTAGGGCAAGGCAAGTACCAGAACACAAAACAAGCATTGGTTTTGTTAACTTGGGAGACAGTTCTATAAAAACAAACTCAGAGGCAATCTTTTTCCCTGTTTAATCACAATTATATGGAAATGAAACGCAGGAGAAACACCCAAATATTAAGAGTAATGACTTTTGAGAGTGGGTTTGAGAGAAGTTTTCTCTTTTCATATTTAAAATTAAAAAAAGTAATGAATACATATTTGTATACATACTGATAAATAAAGGAGGGGGGTTGATTTCTTGAACTACATGTTCAAAGCACATGCTTCTGTCATTTGAGAGTTTTTTGCTTCTGAGTGTTGGCTGCCAACCATGTATTGTGAATGAGGTACATCACTAGTTGAACTCAGGGACCTGCACTCCTAGGAAGATGACCTTGTCTTATGAAGGCAATGCATCTAAGGGCTTAATGCCCACATTTGTCCTGAGTCTCACCATCCTCTCCAGTTTCACAAGCTAGGATACAGTTTGGAAATCTTTTCTACACATTGATTGGACCATGGAAACAAGTATTAAGTACGTAGATTTAGTACATATGAAAATAAGGCACTGTTCAAAGCAACACTTCTTATGTGAAAGAGTAATGACCAGGTTAGGTGTACAAATGGGTCAGAAACCTCATCTGACCACAGCTCTGTCAGGCTTAACAGAAGTCTGGCTGATAAACACTTTAAATAGTACTTGAAGGTAGTACCAATACAGACAGTTCCTCAAGAACATTCGAAAACAAAGCAAAAAAATATCCCATAGCCCTTGAGTTGATTCCAACTCATGACAACAAGTGAATGCGAGAACCATCTTCACATCAAACAGATGGGTACGTGTACCTGCTCCAGGCCACTGACGTCTTCTGGCAGCAGTATGAGAAGGCTGAGGTCACGATTCTCATAATAAAGTTGAACACCGTTGGCTTTTGGCTCTTCTATATGAAATATAAGGAGTTTTTCTTTCATTGACATCATCTGCACTGGCTTGCTTGTGGTCTGTAAAAAACAGGGAGCAAAGTCATTGGAGAGGTGTTCCATCAAATCCTTAATTCCTTATCATCATTAGTTCTCACTTATCTAGGGCACTGGTGAGGTTAGGGACCCTCTGCTGAATGCTGAATATAGTTATCCAGACCTTGCCTCCTGGAAAAATACAGTCTACTGGGTACCCTCACTAACAAAGGATCTGGGAATTCCTGTCTCCCCCACTTTTGCAGCATAATAAAGCTTGTTGTTGTTGTTGTTGTTATGTGCCATCGAGTCGGACCCAACTCATAGCGACCCCTCCTTGGGTTTCCGAGGCAGTATCACTACAGAAGTAGATTGCCCCATCTTCCTTCCGAGGAGCGGCTGGTGGGTTTGAACCACCAGGCTTCTGGTTAGCAGTCAAGTGCCTTAGACACTATGCTACCAGAGCTCCTCTATAAAGCATAGCAAAGTGGATTCTATCAAACACTGAAAAGAATGTATAACCTTATGCAAACTCCGTAAGGGCCAATGATTCAGAAATTAAGTCAGTTGCACTTCATATGAAAACATTTTAGAAAATACTATAGTATCATAAACTGCAATTCAGATGTTATAGTCATATTATTTAAGAAGCCCTGGTGGCACAGTGGTTAAAATGCTCTAATGCTAACCAAAAGGTCAGCTGTTCAAGCCCACCAGCCACTCCACGGAAGAAGGAGATAGCAATCTGCTTCCACAAAGATTTACAGTCTTGTTTACTCTGTGGGACAGTTCCATTCAGTCCTATAGGGTCACTGTGAGTTGGAATCGACTCCATGGCCACAGGTTTGGACATATTTTCCAGCACATGTGGGGCTCACTGTCAATCTCAAAGCCCACCTATCTGATGAGATGGTGGCCATAGGACCTGGGCTGTTCATTCTGAGAACTTCAGGATACTGTGATTGTCTCTGGGATAAGTACATGGCTGGCATCAGCCAGAGTCTTTCTCAAGACCTTCTGTTAGCACTAGCAGCACAGATGTTCTCAGCTGAAGGACTGAATATAGGGTAGCCATATCCTCTGTCTATAAGGAGAAATCCCATCTTTAGTAGCAGAGAATGAAAGCAATGCACAAAGGAACTAGGAGAGAGAGTGAGAAGAAGAACTGAACTTGTGCTTTGAAACTCTGGAAACTCCATTCCTGAACACACTTAATACAGTTCCATATGTTGTTGGGGCCAGTTTGCTTTTCTATCACTTGCAACTGCAAATTCCTAATGAGTATACTAAACCAGATAAATACCTAGCTCACACCTAGTCAGCCAGCTGTGCTCATAGCTATTGGATTATGGATCCAGACCATTCTGAGAACTGTCTATCGCCTACAATCAAATGATTACGCTTTTCAAATGGCTGGCTGGCAATCTGCACACGGTTGATACAATAGGACCCTCCATGGACTAAGCAAATGTCGCAAACAAACCTTGGTCAACTGGTTCCTTTATTAAGAGTTTGAAATGGGATCTATCCCACCTTAGCCAGACTGGTCTACAGCAAGGAGGAGGCACTGTGGGATTCTGTCCTCGTGGACTGGGAGTGGAGAAACAGGTTAACGTGAGTGAAGAATGATGAAAGAAATAGCTGAACAGATGGAGGAAGAATCCTGACAGCATTGAATCCATATTTCCACCATGTCCTGAGACCACACCACTTCCCAGCCCTTGGATTCCACAAGATGTGTCTATACTCCTGTAGTCCTTTCCTTTTTGTTCTGGTGGATTCCCATTACTTGTTACAGGAATGAGTGTGTTGCATCCTAACACAGAGTGAAATACTAATGAAAATTGTTGAGATTTAAGATTTTTCATTTCTTTCACTTGTGAAATGGAAGACTTTGGTAGAAGAGAGTAGTGGTTTGGTAGAACGAGAACAGATCTAATAGTGGGATCCTGGGTTCAGATTGGGGTCTGCTTCTAATTCCTGCAGGGCCGCTGTCCTTCGGCTACACTGTAACTCTCGCTCAGGAGACCAACACAATGACTACCTACTCGGCTCACACAGTGTGATAACTTCTGTGGACAGTCTATATTCAGAGAGAAATGTGAAAGGGGAACTTTCAGAGGGGATGGACCTGGAGATTTCAGCTCAGCCATTCCTTCCCCAGTTCGAGCCAGAGTTGACAACAACTGATTTCAAAAGTAGACTTAACATAGAATTCCCTTTTCGCCATGCAAAAATCCCTACTGGTTGGCAATAGGCACTTACCTTGTTTACTCTGAAAGGCTTCTCTGTGGTGTTTGCCACTAAGAATTGATGTTCCCACATTCCTTTAAAGTAAAGGGCATTCACCAGAACCATCTTGGTTGTAGCTTCCACGGAGTTCTCAGGGAGGAGATTGAGGATTTTACCTACAAGAGCAAAAGAATAGGTCTCAAATGGCTGAGTGGCAATATACCTATTTCAGTGACAGAAAACTTGATTTCCAATTTTTTCTGAACCATGAAATTTTCTAAAAAGCTTTGGGTTCAGATATTCCAGAAATGGAATAATTTAGGATTAGGTAGCATTCCTGTCCAGAACAGTTACCAGTAAAAAGAAAACACTGGAGGAATACTATGTTGAAT